TATAACGCATTGCATACTTTATTCCCAAAAAGACATGGTCACTTTTACCCAAGGGAGGAAGGTACTGAATGTCAAATATCTCTTCCTCCTTCCTGGTAAATATCAAATCTAGCATGGAGGGAACGTCCCCTTCCCTCATCCTCGTAGCTTGTTTAACATGTTGATACAAGAATGTTTCCAGGATGAGGTCTACAAATTTACAGGTCCAAAAATCTTCTGTTTTAGCTTCATATGCTTCCCAGTCTATGGATTTCAAGTTGAAGTCACCGACTATCAACAGTCGTGATCTATCGTTATCCGCTCTCGCTATAATCTCTCTCATTATTGTTATAAGACCTTCACGTTTACTATCTAGCTCCTCCTTTGACCATGTGCTGCTTGGCGGTGGACTATATGCATTTATCATCATTAGTTTATCATCCTCATGGCAGATCTCTAGTGCTATTATGTCAACTTCTTGTGGATTGGCAGTCATTATTTCGTTCACCTTTAGGTGTTCTTTTACCAGCACAGCAACGCCACCGCCTTTCCTAATTTTTCTGTCCCGTCTCCAAATTGAGTAGCCCCTTGGGAATATGACCTCATTTAAAATGTACATCTTCAAGTTTTGTGTGAGTGCACATGTCTGTGTGTGTATACATGCAACTCCAGTATGTGTAACACTCCATTGTGTGTGTATGTGTAGGAACTTGTGTGTGTGTATGTATATGTATATGTGTACATAATATATATGTATATATGTGTATATGTGTATGTATACTTTTTCTTTCGGAAGGGGCTCTGTTCCCTTCTCTGTTGACGGGGCGCTGGGGGAGCAGCTTGCTCTGTTGACTCTCGCATGGTCCCGCAGTTAGTGGGCGCTTTTGGTTGTCTTCCGGCCTCTGGTGGCGGCGGTGGACGGCTTCTTCCCCTTTGGGGGGTTCAGGGCTGGCGGGGTGGGCTTCTTCCCCTGCGCTTCGTCATGTCATCTTAGTGGGTGCGTTGGACGTGGTCGATCCGCCCCATCCTTCTGGGGTTCCCGTCTGCTCTATGCAGACATGGGCCTGTCGAATCTGCGGTTCTTCTGGACTTCTTCAGTCTGCGCCCTGGATTCTATGCCCTCATCGGAGGACTGTTGTCTCCTGTCCGGCTTCTGTTGGGGCCGGGTGCCTGGATGGTGGCCCTGGACCTCCAGGTCAATTCTTGGCACGTTCCTCTCCAGTTTTCCGGGACTGGCACAGTTGGTGGTGGGGCTTCAGGCTTGCTGCTTTTGTTGCCTTCCCTATTTTGTAATTGGCACTTGGTGTATTTACGCATCTTTACCGGATCTTGGTGCCCTGTCTGAGTCTGCTTGGGATTCGGTGTCTGGCCTACCTCGACGACTGGCTGGTGTGGGCTCCCAGTCGGTCCGCTTGTCTGCTCGCCAGGGGTGTGGTTCTTTCCAGATCGCCGGGTTTGGTTTCCTGGTGATCTGGAGGCCGTTCCATCTGTTTCCGTCCCGGGTTCGGACCTGGCTGGGTCTTGTTTAGGGCTCTTGGGCCGCTCCTTGTCTTTCCCTCCAGAAGTGTTGCTGCGGCTGTGGTCCCGCCTTCGGCTGTTCATGAGGGGGTCCCGGGTTGCTCGGCGGTTGCTCGAGCAGTTGTGCGGGAGTCTGAACTTCGACGTGCTGGTCTGCCCGCAGGGTCGGGTTTGGCTTCGGCGTCTGTTTGGTTCCTTCGGAGACTCCCCTTCCGCCTCTCTTGCAATCGTTGGGTTCGTTCCTCCGGGGATCTTGTGTTGGTGCTGCGTCACCAGCTTCCTCTTTGGGGTTTTCGGGGTTCCGTGCCTTGGCACCTCCCCGAGCCTTCGCTCGATGTGTTCACGGACGGGTCATCTCTCGGCTGGGGCTTTGTGACCAGTGCTCACCAGGTCGGCCGGGGATGGTAGGGTCTGTCCGTCCGTCGGGCTAACAGCACGGTTCGGGAGTTCGTGGCTGTCTGGTTTGCGCTTCGGAGGGTTTGGGTCACTCGGTGCTCTACCATTCAGCTCCATTCGGACTGTTCTCTGGCGGTTCTTTGCCGGAACCACAGGGTTTCTCTTAGGTGTTTGACCTTTGGGGTTGGTCCCTTAGAGTGGCTCGTTTGCTGGATTCTCGGGGTTTGGCTAACCGTGAGGTTCATGTCTGGGGTGTGTCCTGCGTCCTGGCGGACAGCTGTCTCGGTTCATTCCTCTGTTCACGGATTGGCCAGTCGTCGCCGACTCGTTTCGTTGGCTCTGCCGGACGTATGGACTCCTGGCCATGGACATCTTAGAGTCGGTATGGTGTAGGCATCGCCCATTCTATGTGGCACCCTTACCCGCCTGCGAGGCGTTCACGGTGGATGCCTTTCTGCAGGACTGGTCAAGGTGGGGGTACCTGTTCCTCTTCTCCCGGTCCAGCTGTTGCTTCGGGTTCTGGCTCGATTGGAGCCCATTCCCAAGATAGTAGTCCTTATGGTCTCTTGGTGGCCGGCCCAGCTTTATTTTCAGACGCTGCTTGATAGGTGTCCGAACCCGGGGCATTTTCCCGTGACTCCGCCTCTTTCGGCAGGTCGGACCGGTCCTGTACGTGACTGGTTCGGCCTTCTCCTCGGCTCTTCGCGTCTGGTATTTTGACGCGGGTATCACCATCTCTGTGGTGATCAGGTGGCTTTGTTGATGGTGTCCCACCTGCGAGCTTCGTCTCGGCAACAGTATGACATTCCTGGTGTTTCTATGCACTTTTTCTTGCTCTTCGTAGGTTGTCTTCTCTTTCGCATCGGGTTGTCTTGTCCTTTCTTGGGTTTTCAGGACTACAGTTATTTGATGTTTCTTACTGTTGCCTCGTTTTGTGCGGCGCTGGCAGAGCCGCTCCGGCTTGCGTTCGGGGTGGACGTCACATCTGCCCCGTTTCGTACGCTTTCTCGTGTTTTGTTTCACCTCCGGCCTGCTCATGCGTCGCCTGAGCCGTCCTGGTCCTTGATCAGGGTGCCTTCTTATCTTCTCCTCAGTTTGTGGTAGCCCCTTCGGTTCAGGTTTCTGCTCTTTGGTACTGGTGGTAGGTTTGTACGTTTGCAGCCTTTCTCCGTCCTTCTGGCGACGGTCGAGACGGCTGCTTTCCGGAGGGGTTCTTGGGTTATTGATGCTTGATTGGTTCGGCCGGGGGTGCGTCCTGTGTTGTCCGGTTGCGCTTTTTTGCCGTTACCTGCGTACCGTGTCTGGGGATGCGCTTTGGGTTGATCCGGTTCCCCTCGTTCCCTGTTTCAGGGCTCGGGTCTCCCAGGTCGTCCGCAGAGTTTTTAAGTCTTCCAGCCTGCGGTCTGTCCTTGCGCCCGTGCTGTTCGGACGTTTGCAGCTTTTGCTGCTGTGTTGGTGACGTCTAGGGCTCATTTCGGGCGCAGGGATTTGAGGGTCGCACAGGTTCTTGGCCGCCCATTCTTTATGCGCGTCTGCTCCTGTGCGTTCTTGTTGCCTTGGGTCGCAGGTTGCAGCCTGTTGTCTCGGCTTCGCGTTGCGGAGTTTGTGGCGGCCGCCTCCTGGGTCAGCCCTTTCTTTTCCTTCTCTTTGGGTATGAAGCTCCAGGGAGCCGTAGGGGGCTCCCCACAGAAAACCAGCGTTGAATGTAATGAAATGCCATTTTCTGGGTGAGCCCCGGAGGCTCCCTGGCAACCCTCCCTCCCACCGGTCGGCGTTTTTTTCGCGTTGGTTGAAGCTTAGCTTCCGAACTGATGCTAGGCAGCCGGCGCGGTAGGTCCGGGGCTCCCCCCTCCCCCTCTCGGGGCGGGGAGGGCTGCGCGGACGATTGGTGCGGCAGTAAAGTGTGATGTTTGCTTGTTTGCTTGTTCCTTGGGATTGTAGGGTGTTTCTACCTCTCTGTTCGTTTTTTGTTTATGTTTTTTACCATGTGGGGTTTGTTTTGTCATGCCTACCTTTCTGGGTGCCTGGCCCCGGTCGATGGCAGATAAGGAAAACCCCAACCACAAGAGGGTTTTCCAGTGCCATTGCTCCCTGAAACCTCTCTGAAGGGGCCAGGTTCTGGGGCTGGTCCCTGGTAGGTCTGAACTCCTTAGCTAATGTTCCGGTCTAATATAACATACATTAGCCTGATAATCTCCAGGGAGCCTCCGGGGCTCACCCAGAAAATGGCGTTTCATTACATTCAACGCTGGTTTTATGTTGCCCAGGGTTATGTAGGCTCTGTGATTCCATGTGTTTTGTGATCTTACTTCTTTATTGTTCAGATACACATTTATGTAGCCTTAGCCTTATTAAATGTTAATTGTGGTGGTTCCTTGGTGGCAGACAAGGTTACCTTGGCCACTACGACCATCCTGTTACTCAGAATTTCATTGTAAAATAGATCTATATGCTTTCTTTTGCTTTTACTATTACCTAAATTTCTTTGCAAACCAAAAATAATATGTAATGCCTTCTACAAAGGTCTCTGTTATAACTACCAACCTATTACAGTATCTCATTGTACAATGTAATAGTCAATGTTCACATAGCAGTATACAGGTCCAAAAGTTTGGCAATCGGCGCGGTACTTGTTTTCTTGCTTTTGCTTTTAGTGCTGACTGAAAAATTTGCTGAATCATTCTTTATTATTAAATTATGTTATCAGAGGGTACGTACCAATGCTGAGGGCTGGTTAAAAACACACTGGCATCAAGTGTATTCTTACAGTGGACTGTATGATGGAATTAATTCTGCAAAACACCAATTCAACTATAGTACTCTGCATGTAAAGCAGATTAAAATGAAAATTACCAGACAAATTCATATGCAGTAGTATAAGCTTGTAAACAATAGTGAAAAGATTGTCAGCTGTGAATTATTATTTAGTCAATCAGGTGTAGAACATCTACTTTAATCTATATTGAGTTAGGATTTCAGAGGTGTGATCTGATAGCCAAATATGTATGTTATTTGGAGGTATTTGGTCTAAAGAGAACTATATTTATAGGTTCTGTATTTATTGTTTATTGAATAAAAAGTTTGAAATAATTCTTACAATGTTGCAGAGTTTTGCTGGAGATGGTCTACGAACGTTATGTCTTGCATACAAGGACTTAGATGAAGATTACTTTCAGGTTTGTGACTAAATAATTTGTTTACATGTTTATGGAAGCATATGTTACAACCCGAACATAAATGATATTTGTATCATGTTGACAATCTAGTACAGTAGTTCCAAACTTGATTCAAGCAGTCCAAAGCTTGAATTTAGTGGTCCCAAGGTTGAATCTGTACTGAGAAATGGTGCTTTTCTCAAATATGTACTTGGCTTGTTTATGTATAATTACAGTACTATACATCATCACCAATTTTCTTCTAAAACATAACTGGTTAATAAATACCCAGTTAAAGGAGGTAGCTGTAACTCTCTAATGGATTCAATCTATGGTAGTGAGGAACAGGTCAGTCCATAAAGTATCTCATTCCATCTATTGCTTCTTTATGTGGACAACTATTTTATTATTAGGGACCTAGTTCATAAAAATTATTATACAGTATTGGTCATATATGACTGATAGGAATAATATAATAGGTCTAATATTTTCTTGTACAGAACTGGAAGTCCCGCCATCATGAAGCTGCAGTGTCCTTAGAATCAAGAGAAGACAAGCTTGCTTGTATCTATGAAGAAATAGAAAAAGATCTTGTACTTTTAGGTAAGTTGGTTTTCCTTCGCCGGGAGTGCGAAAGTGTTAAGAACCAGACGTCCTCTGTGCCTGCTCGCACTTGGGTTCCATCGTGCACTTCTTGAGCCTCTTGGAGCATTGTTGTAATTAGTTCCAGGAGGATATTGGGGTGCTCGGTGTGGTTTTCCTTGTGGGAGTTCTGGGTTCTGCTGCTTCAGCATTGGCATCCCTTCTCAAGCTGTATGCTCTGATCCTCCATGAGGGTGGCTATGTTTTCTGGGCTCTGGGCTTGTTACGGCTCCCCGGAGCTTACTAGGCTGATATGCTAATGTCAGACTTAGCCATCAGTCATGTATATTAAGTTCTTATGGGCCTACCGGGGACCATGAGCCAGAACCTGGCCCCCTCTAGAGGGGCAAGGGGAGCAATGGCCTATAGAAACCCCCGTGTGGTTGGCAGCATTCTATGTCTGCCATCAACCAGGTCAGGCACCCAGAAAGGTAAGCTTCCCAAAACAAACTCCTATTCTGGTTAAAATTGCAACCAAAAGTGGAATGAGTGGATAGAACTCCCCAAACAAAAACTAGCAAACTAGTATGACATCACCCGTCGCCGCGCCGCTGTCTGCGCAACTTCCCCCTCCCCGGGAGGGGGAAGGGGAAGCCCCAGACCTCCCGCGCCAGCGATCTACACCCCAGTTCTTGAGGCTGATGCTATAGGCAGCAGTTGTGTGCTCTGGCTCCAGACTTTTGCGGCGCTGTGCCTTGTGTGTGGCGGCTGTTTTCCAGGGGTGCAAGAGCTAGGAGTTATTCTTCAGTATTCGGGCTGCATGCGCCTAGGGTTCCCTTCCATAGGTGCCCTGTAAGTACTGTCCTTGGAGCCTGGGGTTACGTTCCACAGGTTCCTTGGGATCTGCATCTGTGGGTCCGTTTAACTGCTCGGATTTTCAGCCGCCCTTTGGGTGCTTGGGTGTTTTGTCTCTCTTGTTTACCTTAGGGTAAGAGGCAGTTTTGCACTGGTGAGGGGCACAGGGTGCTGTGCAGCTTGTTGTCACCTATCACAGCGGCCGGTTCTGTTCCTTGGGAATGTTGTCCTCTTGCGGGGTTTTGTTTTTCTTTTGTTTTTCCCTTGGTAGGAGGTTCTTCCCTACTTGCCACTTGTGTTTGGCCTCCTCCTGATACTTGGTGGTGCCCCCTGCTAGGTCTCCATGTGTGTACACGTCCCTGGGGTTCAGCTGTAGACAGTTTGTTTGGTAGTTTTGGGCGCCGGTTAGCAGTACCCTGCCTGGGCTTACTTGGGTGTGAGTCCTCTTATAGTAAACGCACAGGACCCTGGGAATCCCTTAGGGGACGTTTGGGTCCGATGGATGCGACCCCAGAGTCCCCCTTCGCTTCATGCGAGTTTGAGGGGTGTTCAGTCCCATTGTCTCAGGGCGATCCTCAGTGTTTTTGCCTCCGTCACGCTGCCTGTTGGGTCGGTGACACTTTTGACCCGGAGTTCTGTGAGTTTTGCTGCTTGCTGGTAACACAATTTACCCAATCTGTGGATGATCATCTTCGGGTACAGGCTGCGCAGGCATTGCATTCTAGGTTTCGTTTGTTGCAACGCGCTCGGTTGGTTGCTCACCCGGATGCCTCGCGGCTGACCCGTTTTGCTTATAGGGGCCCGGACTTGGGGGTGGGGTCATCTCAACCCTCTGCGTATGAGTTGGACTTGGTGTCTGCCCCTTCCCTGGTTCGGTTCATGTTCCCTGCTTGCTTGATACCTGCTTGATGGGGTTCTGAGAGTTCTTCTACTCGCCAAGCCCGGCCCGAGGCCAGGCTTGACTTGTGAGAGTTTGGTCCACCAGGATGTTGCTTGGAGTGGCCCGCAGGCCCACATACCCACCACAGTCCGGTTGGTCTGGAACTTCTCTTGTCCAATCTAGTTTTCTCTTTCTCTAGTCCATGGTTGTTCCGGCAATATTTATGATGCTCGCTGGGAGGACGTTGAACAACCGTGGACCTCTGATGTTTATACAGTGTTCTCTGATTGTGCCTATGGCACCTCTGCTCTTCACTGGTTCTATTCTGCATTTTCTTCCATATCTTTCATTCCAGTACGTTGTTATTTTACTGTGTAGATTAGGGACTTGGCCTTCCAATATTTTCCATGTGTATATTATTTGGTATCTCTCTCATCTCCTTTCTAGTGAGTACATTTGGAGAGGTTTGAGACAATCCCAATAATTTAGGTGCTTTATCGCGTCTATGTGTGCCGTATATGTTCTCTGTATTCCCTCTATTTCAGCAATCTCTCCTGCTCTAAAGGGGTAAGTGAGTACTGAGCAGTACTCGACACAGGATAACACAAGTGACTTGAAGAGTACAACCATCGTTATTGGATCTCTAAATTTTGAAAGTTCTCGTAATCCATCCTATCATTTTTCTGGCTGACGCAATATTTGCTTGTTTATGCTCCTAAACGTTAGATTGTCGGACATCATTATTCCCAAATCCTTGACATGCTGTTTACCTATTATGGGCAGATTCGATTGTGTTTTGTACCCTGTATTATGTTTCAGGTCCTCATTTCTGCCGTACCTGAGTACCTGGAATTTATCACTGTTAAACATCATGTTATTTTCTGCTGCCCAATCGAAAACTTCGTTGATATCTGCTTTTAATTTTTCCATGTCTTCAGCAGAGGTAATTTTCATGCTGATATTTGTGTCATCTGCAAACGATAACACGAAGCTGTGACTTGTATTTTTATCTATATCTGATATGAGAATAAGGAACAGCAGTGGTGCAAGGACTGTACCTTGAGGTACAGAGCTTTTAACTGTGCTTGGACTTGATTTGATTTGATTGACTGTTACTCTTTGTGTTCTGTTTGACAGAATTGAGTATCTAATGTCCTACTTTAGCAGTTATTCCCATTGACCTTATTTTGTGTGCAATCACTCCATAATCACATTTGTCGAATGCCTTTACAAAGTCTGTGTATACTACATCTGCATTTTGCTTTTCTTCTAGAGCTTCTGTGATTTTGTCATAGTGCACCCCCGGGGCTTCGGTTCTGTCTTTCCGGAGGTTTTCTGCTTATCGCATCCAACCTGCTGCGGTGCGGGCTGCCCTTGCGACAAACCACCTGCGTGACCCGGATTATGCTTCGGCTTTCAGGTTTGGGACTTCGTTCCCTTTCAGGCTCTGTTGCGAGGTTCCGGAGTCGTCTTGGCTGGCGGACTGTCCTGTCTTTACCTTGGATGCCCGGCACTCGTTCTGCCGTTCCCGCACGCTTGAGTGGCTGGAGGCTTCAACGGTGCTGCAGGTTTTCTTGGGGGCCGACTTTGAGCACCTCAATGAGTGCTAGTTTGCTCCTACCCTTTCCTAGGATGTTGGGTGTTGTTCAGCTCCATGTGCAGGTTCCCTCCCTTTTGGCAGCGCAGGTGGTTGAGGACTTGTGCGCCTGGGGCCTTTTGGTTTTGGCCTTGCGTTTCTTTTCCCTCCAGGAGCTGTCTTCGGACTGGCTCACAGAGGATGTGAAGGCACTTGGGGCTGTTCCCAGTTCTGGTGCCTTTGCCTCGGTGGCTCGCTCATCGGCTTCCTTGCTGAAGCTTTTCGCGCCGATCTTATGGGATGCGGTTGCTCTGTTTCATGCTTCCCAGCTCGCATGTCGGCAGACGGTGCTTGCCACCTCTGTGGAATCTTCTTGGGCCTTGGCTCTTAGGATGTCTAAGCCTTTTTTGGTTCTCTCCTGTTTGAGGCCATTGAACAGTATATTCAGGCTGCTTCGGCTTCTTGCCATCGTATGTCAGTCTTGCTGGTTCTCTGGGAGTCCTGTGGTGGGCCTTCCCGGAAGGGTTGTGCCAAAGCTCGGGGTTCCTCTCATCATGGTAGGCTACTGGTGTTGGGTTTGGGTTCGGCTCCTCCTTCGAACCCGCCTTTCGTCTGGTCAGCGCAGGGTTCTGGGTCTCGTAAGGAGTGCAGCCCTTTTGCGGTTCGCCCCATTGATGGGGCGATGGGGGGTAGGCTTGCGCTGTTCGCTCACGCCTGGTCCCACGATTCCTAGGCATTTCAGGTCGTTTTGTGTGGCCTCCAGTGGCGTTGGGGCCCTCCCCCCACCCCCTTTTGGGGGATTCGGGGCTGGCAGGGCAGGCTTCTTCCCCTGCGCTCTGTCGGGTCATCTTGGAGTGGGTTCGCTTGGGCGTGGTCGAAACAACGTCGTCCCTCAGATGGGATTTCCCGTCTGTTTCTGGTCCTGAAACGGGACTGCGCGGACCTGCGGTTCATTCTGGACTTGTCCCGTCTGAACCCCTGGGTTCATTGCCGCTCCTTTCGGATGACTACGCTGTCCCAGGTTCGGCTCCTGCTGGAGGCGGGCGCTTGGATGGTGTCTCTGGACCTCCAGGATGCATATTGGCAAGTCCTGATTCATCCGGGGTTCAGAGACTGACTCGGTTTTGTTGTGGGGCTTCGTCCATACCGCTTTCGTTGTCTCTTGTTCGGGTTGAACCTGGCACCTCATGTGTTCACACGCCTTACACGGGTCGTGGTGGCCCATGTAAGTCTGTTAGGTGTTCGGGTGTTGGCCTACCTCGACGACTGGCTGGTTTGGGCTCCCGGCCGGTCCTCTTGTCTGCTGGCCAGGGATTTGGTTCTTTCTCAGCTCGCCGGGTTCGGGTTCTTAGTGAACTGGAGGAAGTCCCATCTGGTTCCCTCCCAGGTTCGGACCTGGCTGGACCTTGTGTGGGACTCTCAAACCGCTTCCTTGTCTCTTTCTCCGGAGTCTCTCCTGCGGCTGCAGTCCTGCATGCGCCTGTTTCTGGGGAGCTCCTGGGTCTCCCGAGGGTCTGTGCAGGAGCCTGAACTTCGCGATGCTGGTCTATCTGCTAGGTCGGGTTTGGCTTCATCGGCTGTTCTGGTTCCTTCGGGGACGTCCCTTCCATATCTCTCGTGATCGTTGGGTTCAGACCCCGGGGGCTTTGCATTGGTTGCTGCATCACCAGCTTCCTCTTCGGGTTTTTCAGGATTCAGTGCCTTGGCGCCTTCTCGAGCCCTCGCTCGATGTGTTAACAGACACGTCGTCTCTTAGCTGGGGTTTTGTGACTGGTGCTCACCAGGCCGGCCAGGGGCAGTGGGGTCAGTCCTTCTGTCAAGCCCACAGCACTGTGCGGGAGTTTGCGGCGGTGTGATTTGCTCTTCGGAGGCTTCGAGTTGCCCGCAGGTCGACGATCCGCCTCCATTCTGACTGCTCCCCTGTGGTTCATTGTCTGAACCATGGGGTTTGATATGGTCCTTGGCTCTTTGGGGCTAGTTGCTTCGGGTGACACATCTGCTGAGTTCTCAGGGTTTGGCTCTCCTGGCAATTCACGTTCGGGGGGGGGGGGGGTGTCCAACATTCTGGCGGACAGCCTGTCTCGGTTCATTCCCCTGTCCACGGAATGGATGGTCGACGCCGACTCATTCAGTTGGATCTGTCAGACGTTCGGGCACCCGGATGTGGACCTCTTTGCGTCGGCGTGGTCGAGGCGTCTTCCAGTATATGTAGGGCTCTTACCCGACTGCGAGGCCATCCGGGTCAATGCCTTTCGGCAGGAATGGTCGAGGTGGAGTTACCTGTACCTGTTTCCCCCGGTTCAGCTGTTGCTCCAGGTCCTGGCTCGCTTGGAGACTTACCAGGGGAGAGGAGTCCTCTTGGCCTCTTGGTGACTGTCCCAGCCTTGGTTTCAGGCGCTGCTTGCTCGATGTCTAAACCCGGAGGTTTTCTCACGGCTCCGCCTCTTTCAACAGATCGATCTGGTCCGTCACAAGGCTGGTTCGATTTTCTCTTAGTCATCGCATTTGGTCTTTTTGACTCGGGTCTATCACCATCTCCATGGTGATCAGGTGGCGCCCTTGATGGTGTCCCATCTGCGGGCTTTGTCTTGGGAGACAGTATGAAGTTCCTGGTGGTCATTTCGTTTTTCTCTCACTTTGTAGGTATTCTTCACTCTCAGTTCAGGTTGTCTCGTCCTTTCTCTCCTTATTGTTTCAGGGCCGTCATCATATGCCGAATACTGTTGCCTCATATCATGTGGCGCTGGCGGAGCCGCTACAACTTGCTTTCGGTATTGATGTTACTTCGGCTCTGTTTCTCAATCTGTCTTGTGCATGGTTTCATCTCTGGCTTGCTCGTGCGCAGCTTGAGCCATCCTGGTCTTTGGATCGGGTGCTTTCTTTTCTCTTCTCCTTGATTTGTTGTGGCCCCTTCGGTTCAAGATTGTTTTTCTAAAGCTCTTTTCCTGTTGGCATTGGCCTTTGGGTGTTGGGTTGGAGAGCTTCATGCTCTCCTCCTACACAGGGGTTTTGCTCTTTTGGCTTTCTTGATAGGTTTGTTTGCTTGCAGCTGTCTCCTTCTTTTCTGGAGAAGAATGAGATGGGTGCTTTCCGGAGGAGTCCTTGGGTTGCTGATGGTTGGCTGGTCAGGTCGGGAGTGCATCATGCGTTATGTCAGGTTGCGGCTCTCCTCCATTATTTTCGCGCAACAACTTCTGTGTCCGGGGACACGCTTTGGGTTGATTCGGTTTTCCCTTCTTCCCTGTTCCAGGGTGCGGGTCTCTCAGGTCGCCTGCCGGGTTATTTGGTCCAGCCAGCCTGCATCTATCCCCATGCCTACGACACGGGGATAGATGCTTGCAGCCGTCTCCTTCTTTTCTGGCGAAGAATGAGATGGGTGCTTTCCGGAGGAGTCCTTGGGTTGCTGATGGTTGGGTTCCTGGGCCTCATTGGGCCTGTGCCGCTTTGGGTCGGTGGTTGTAGCCAGTTGTCTCGGTTGTTGCTCACTCCTCAACGCAAAGCTGACTCCCGGGTAAGTCATCCCTCTTATTTTCGTTTTTTGATAAGTAGCTCTGGGGAGCCAGTGGGGCTCCCCCCAGAAAACCAGCATTGAATATAATAAAATGCCACTTTCTGGGTGACACCCGGAGGCTCCCCAGCAACCCTCCCTCCCTCCGTTGGCAGTTTTTCGCATCCAGCCTCATAACTGGGGTAGCCGGCGCGAGGGGGCTGGGACTTCCCCCCCCCCTTCCGAGGAGGGGGGAGCTGCGCAGACGGGGGCACGGTGACATGATAACGTCATGTTCGTTTGCTCATTTTTGTTTGGGGGAGTTCTGTCCACTAGTTCGACTCTCAAAAGCAATTTCTTAACCAGAATAGGGGTTTGTTTTGGGATGCTTACATTTTTGGGTGTCTGACTGCGGTCAATGGCAGACATAGAATGCTTCTAACCACATGGGGGTTTCTATAAACCATTGCTCCTCGTGTGTCTCTGAGGGGGCCCAGGTTCTGGCTCGTGGTATCCGGTAAGCCTAAGAACTCTATTCACACTGACTTATGCCAAAGTCTAACATTAGCAATATCAACCTGGATAGCTCCAGGGAGCCTCCGAGTCTCACCCAGAAAATGGCGTGCCATTACATTCAATGCTGTTTTTTTATCAACTTTTCTCTGGACATACTGTGTTATTATTTGGGAGTCGATACTATGACAACCAACAAGAGTAGTGAGGGTACAGCAGGCAAGGATATAAGAGGAACTTTCTTACCATATATAAGAAGGCTGAGTTATTAAAACCTGATTGTGGCTAGTAGGGAAGTATGGCATTGGTGTTAGTACTGAGTGAGGCAGCAAAAAAGCTGAAGAGGTAGCATGTGGTGTATGTAAGTACAGTACAGTACTATCAAAGAAAGAGCAGTGGCTGTAGGGGTTGACAAGAAAACATTGCAATCTTCTATAAATTAGTAATTGAATGATACTGTTCAGCATCGGTTTATGCCACAGCATAGTCTTGTGGTAGCAGTTAGTGGCATGCAGTTAATGCAAATATTTTGAAATCGTAATTATTTGGATACAGTAACTGAATTCAGTCTGCAGTGGTAATATTCAGATTTTAGAGGTTCCACTATACAAATGAACAATAAAATATGAACATTTTACTGACTTGAGAATTATTAAAAAGGTATGAAAACAGTATTGTTTCATTCATATTTTTTTCTCAGGAGCAACAGCAATTGAAGATAAACTTCAAGAAGGTGTTCCGCAGACTATAGCCAACTTAGCTGTTGCAGGCATCAAGATCTGGGTTCTCACTGGGGATAAACAAGAAACAGCAGTTAATATTGGATACTCGTGTCAGGTAACACTTTAGACATGTTATTGGATCATTATTTTTAATGTTGTGTTTTTTCAGTTCCATTGAGGGCAGGAGGATAAGGGGGAGGGGGCTAGAAAAACACCTTAAAGCAGTAGTTTGTGACACCTGTAAGGCTTCAGTACAGTAGTTTGTGACACCTGCAAGGCTCCAGTATAGTAGTTTGTGACACCTGCAAGGCTCCAGTACAGTAGTTTGTGACACCTGCAAGGCTTCAGTACAGTAGTTTGTGACACCTGCAAGGCTTCAGTACAGTAGTTTGTGACACCTGCAAGGCTTCAGTACAGTAGTTTGTGACACCTGCAAGGCTTCAGTACAGTAGTTTGTGACACCTGCAAGGCTTCAGTACAGTAGTTTGTGACACCTGCAAGGCTTCAGTACAGTAGTTTGTGACACCTGCAAGGCTTCAGTACAGTAGTTTGTGACACCTGCAAGGCTTCAGTACAGTAGTTTGTGACACAAAGGTGACAAAGGAAAAGGTGACACCCCTAGGGTCAACACTTGCAGCAGAGGAGCTCCAGCATATTTCAACAATCCTAAGTATTGTAGTACAGGGTGATGGTAGTGAGTGGTATCCCAGAGAACATAAAGGTATAGCGCTCTTGTAAAATAGGTGAGATAACAGGAAAGTGCTAAGGGAAGTGAAAAATCGGATGAGAAAAAGTTGCCCTAGTGTTTACAGTGCAGAGAAAAACATTCAAGATGGCCACTGGCAAGGGGAAAAACGAAACAGAGCTTGATTTTGAGGGATTCAATGAAGAAAGCATTAATATTAGCAGTCTACATAACAAGTTGGTAAATTTAGATACTATAGTGAACTCTCATGTAGAAATAATTAGTAAATTGAAAGAAAGTAATGACCATTTGAATAGCAAAGTTTTATGTCTTGAGGGTTTAGTGAAAGACTTGCGCAAAGATAAGAATCAATTGGAAACAAATTGCAAAGCCATGGAAGAAGAAAATAAACTCTTAAAAATAGCTCTGGAAGAAGTTAAAGTAAATTTAAACATAAATGACTACAATAGGTTAGGCAAGGAAATTCAACAGGAGAAACAGCTTTTGTCAGCACAGATGGAGGAAGTGATACAGGGAATAGAACAGTGCAAGAAAGATATGCAACTCACTTATGCACAAGTGGCCAAGGAGAAGGAAAAAATAGAAGCAGTAAAGGAAGTCAAACACTGCAGCAACCAAGACAAAACAAACATTAGGCTAGAAGTGAGGAAAGAATTGGCATCTAACCCGAAGTTGGTGCAAAACACAGTTGATCGGAGTAAGTCCCTGATCATTTTTGGCTGCAAAGAAAAGGCGATAACATCTAGGTCAGAAAGAGCTGTAGAAGAAGCTAAAGTAGTAGATAAAATTGTTGGCCTCGTAGAAGGTCTTACAACCATAGAGAATGTGTGCGACTACAGGAGAATAGGCAGGTACGTAAAAGGGAAAGATCGACCTTTGAGGATCACCCTAAATGGTGCCAAACAGATGGAAGAAGTACTAAGGAATGCTAGAAAATTACAAAGTGATGAGGATGGGAAAGGGTGGTCGTTAAGACGAGATCTTTCAAAAGAAGATAGAGAGAAGCTGAAACTGAACCTCGCCGAGGCAAAACGTTTAAATGAGAGCAGGAATGAAGAAGAAATAAATTCTTTTTTCTACAAAGTGATAGGGGTAGGCACACCAGTAAAGTGGTACATAAAGGCAAACCAGCAAAATCAATAGAGAGAGGAGAAGTGAAGAATAAGGAGAGGGGGAACAAGTTCCTGAAGATTGCATACACCAACATAGATGGAGTGAGATGGAAGATACTGGAGTTAAGTGATGTAATACAGCTGCAGACACCAGACATTGTTGCACTCACGGAGACAAAACTTGAAGATGTAATTTTAAATGAGGTCATATTCCCAAGGGGCTACTCAATTTGGAGACGGGACAGAAAAATTAGGAAAGGCGGTGGCGTTGCTGTGCTGGTAAAAGAACACCTAAAGGTGAGGGAAATAATGACTGCCAATCCACAAGAAGTTGACATAATAGCACTAGAGATCTGCCATGAGGATGATAAACTAATGATAATAAATGCATATAGTCCACCGCCAAGCAGCACATGGTCAAAGGAGGAGCTAGATAGTAAACGTGAAGGTCTTATAACAATAATGAGAGAGATTATAGCGAGAGCGGATACCGATAGATCACGACTGTTGATAGTCGGTGACTTCAACTTGAAATCCATTGACTGGGAAGCATATGAAGCTAAAACAGAAGATTTTTGGACCTGTAAATTTGTAGACCTCATCCTGGAAACATTCTTGCATCAACATGTTAAACAAGCTACGAGGATGAGGGAAGGGGACGTTCCCTCCATGCTAGATTTGATATTTACCAGGAAGGAGGAAGAGATATTTGACATTCAGTACCTTCCTCCCTTGGGTAAAAGTGACCATGTCTTTTTGGGAATAAAGTATGCAATGCGTTATAAGCTGGAAGAAAATAAGGAGTTTGAAGCAGTTGAAAAACCAGACTTCAGGAGAGGACATTATGGTGACCTTAGAAATTTTTTTAGTGAGTATAATTGGACAGACTTGATGCTAGGCAAGGAAGTGAATGCGATGTATGTCAAGTTTTGTGAAATATATGATAAAGGCACAAAAAAATTTATACCAAAACAGAGATGCAGAACTAGGAAACAGGATTGGTTCAATATAAATTGCGAGAGGGCTAGAGACCAAAAGACACAAAAATGGAATCAATACAGGAAGAGGCCGAACCCCCAAACATACCAGCGATACAAAGATGCGAGAAACAACTACACGGCAGTGAGGAGAGAGGCAGAAAGAAATTTTGAAAAAGGGATTGCGGACAAATGTAAAACAGAACCAGGTCTATTCTATAAATTCATAAACAACAAATTGCAGGTAAAGGATAATATTCAGAGGTTGAAAATGGGAAATAGATTCACGGAAGATGAAAAGGAAGTGTGTGAAACACTAAAAGAAAAGTTCCAAAGTGTGTTTGTACAAAATGAAATCTTTAGGGAACCAGATACAATAAGAATTCCAGAGAACAACATAGAGCACATAGAGGTGTCTAGAGACGAAGTGGAAAAAATGCTCAAAGAGCTAAGTAAGAACAAAGCAGCTGGTCCAGATGGAGTTTCACCATGGGTTCTGAGAGAATGTGCACCTGAGCTCAGCATTCCACTTCACCTGATCTTTCGGGCATCCCTGTGTACAGGAATCGTAGCAGACGTGTGGAAACAGGCTAACATAGTTCCAATCTACAAAAGTGGCAGCAGGGAAGACCCCCTCAATTATAGACCTGTATCATTGACAAGTGTAATAGTGAAAGTATTGGAAAAACTAATGAAAACTAAATGGTCGAACACCTAGAGAGAAATGATATAATATCAGACAGACAGTATGGTTTTCGATCTGGAAGATCCTGTGTATCGAATTTACTCAGTTTCTATGATCGAGCCACAGAGATATTACAGGAAAGAGATGGTTGGGTTGACTGCATCTATCTGGACCTAAAAAAGGCTTTCGACAGAGTTCCACATAAGAGGTTGTTCTGGAAACTGGAAAATATTGGAGGGGTGACAGGTAAGCTTCTATCATGGATGAAAAATTTTCTGATAGAAAAATGAGGGCAGTAATCAGAGGCAATGTATCGGAATGGAGAAATGTCACAAGTGGAGTACCACAGGGTTCAGTTCTTGCACCAGTGATGTTTATTGTGTACATAAATGATCTACCAGATGGTATACAGAATTTTATGAACATGTTTGCTGATGATGCTAAGATAATAGGAAGGATAAGGAATTTAGATGATTGTCATGCCCTTCAAGAAGACCTGGACAAAATAAGTAGATGGAGCACCACTTGGCAAATGGAATTTAATGTTAATAAATGTCATGTTATGGAATGTGGAATAGGAGAACATAGACCCCACACAACCTATATATTATGTGAGTGTAACGGGGGGTGGGGGAAATAGCTCTATCTTGTCCATTATTCCACCCTCCAGTTAACTAACGAGGCCGGGGGAAACAGCTCTCTCTAGTCCGTTATCCCGTCCTCAATTAGCTAACTATTCTAGAGCACCTCCAGAGTTCCTAAAGCAACCTCTCTCGTTCAACACCTTGTAACCTAGGTATTTGACTACCTAGGTGCTAAGACTACAAGGCGCCGTCACTTGATCAGTTACCCGAAACTCTAGAGAGAACTCTACAATACAAAATCATTGCCACAAACGTATAAGAGAAAACGAGAGGAAAGAAATGAAATGTGAAGTAATTAGTGAGGGTTTGGGGTGAGAGGCAGAGAGGTGGGAGGGGCGAGGAGGGTCATTAGTTGAAAGTGAGAGTTTAGAGAAGGGTGGAGGGAGAGGTGTAGATAGGTAGAAGTAGAAGGGTAGATAGTAGAAGTAGAAAAGTAGATAGTAGAAGTAGAAGAGTAGATAGTAGGAGTAGAAGAGTAGATAGTAGAAGACGAAATGCTGCCACCATCCATTCATGATCATTACATACAAGACAAGGAATGGAACTTGTCTGTATCAAAATATTCTCAAAGGATGTTATCATGAGTTCATTATTAGTAGTTCCCATCTTTATCATGTACTCATTCTAAACCATGAAACCAGTAACTACAGAGGCTTTCTCATCTCAACTCAAAATCTCTAGGGAACAAAGTTAAACACAATTTAAATAATAAATTCATAATTATATTTCACATGAAGTATCATAATTTAGCAATTCAATTAAAATGTTCCAGTTTAATATTTAAAGTGAGTCATCCTCCAAGAATCTGAGAACCCTACAACTTGACTGCCCCTGATCATCACACAACACTTGTAAAACACGACCAAGTCACCTTAATGTTCACTCACCGAGGACTGAGTCTAAGTTGAATAGAGAGGGGGGGGGTCTGTAGCTTGACAGAGACTGTCTCGCCCCTGCCGGCCGACAGCCTCCCTGCGAGGGACGTCTTCTC